GGATTGAAACGCGGGTCAGAATTTGAACTAATATTCATATCCCGTTTCCTCCCCGCTATTCATTCAGCTAATTGCTATGTCATTCTTAGCACTTCTCATTTGTCATTACCTTAATTTGCATTCTCCTGCCAGACAGCCCTGTACAACAATACATTAAGAAAGCACGTTCCCGTATGTGAGGAAAATTAAGGCTTGAATCACATGCTTTAAGAGTAATCGCTTTCTGAAAGTAAACAGAACGGCTCTTTCCATTTTTGGCCAGGCCAGACAAATTCTTCATCTTTTAATTAGAAAATGGAGGAAGATCATACCTTTCTCCCTCAGCCCAAGAAGGATTAATGTCATGTCCAAAGTCTTCCTACTCCTTCCTTCGGGGTGCTGTTGTTGTCTTTGAACGTAGGACTTTCAGGATAACAACCAACCAAAGTTATTCCCTGACCAAAACAGGCTGCAGGGTTTTGAAGCTGATACTTACATGTGCCGTAGTTCTTTCTCTTCACCCCAATCATGGGAGCAAACAACTCCCTCTCTTAGGGTACGTCTAGACTACATGGCTCCATCGACGGAGCCATGTAGATTTGTTGTTTTGGAAAAGGGAAATGAAGCCGCGATTTAAAGGATCGCGGCTTCATTTACATTTACATGGCTGCCGCGCTGAGCCGACAAACAGCTGATCAGCTGTTTGTCGGCTCAGCGCGGCAGCCATGTAAATGTAAATGAAGCCGCGATTTAAAGGATCGCGGCTTCATTTACATTTACATGGCTGCCGCGCTGAGCCGACAAACAGCTGATCAGCTGTTTGTCGGCTCAGCGCGGCAGCCATGTAAATGTAAATGAAGCCGCGATTTAAAGGATCGCGGCTTCATTTACATTTACATGGCTGCCGCGCTGAGCCGACAAACAGCTGATCAGCTGTTTGTCGGCTCAGCGCGGCAGCCATGTAAATGTAAATGAAGCCGCGATTTAAAGGATCGCGGCTTCATTTCCCTTTGCCTACAACCCTAATCTACATGCCTCTGCCGACAGAGGCATGTAGTCTAGACACAGCCTTAGTTTGAACCACTTGCTAGAGTTCAGATTAGGGTTGCCAGTTACTTTCACAAACATGTCAGAGAAAAAATTGGTTGAGTGGAAAAAAATGGGGGGGAGGAATCATAGAATCATAGAATAATAGGACTGGAAGGGACCTCGAGAGGTCATCGAGTCCAGCCCCCCGCCCTCAAGGCAGGACCAAGCTCCACCTACACCATCCCTGACAGATGTCTATCTAACCTGTTCTTAAATATCTCCAGAGAGGGAGATTCCACCACCTCCCTTGGCAATTTATTCCAATATTTGACCACCCTGACAGTTAGGAATTTTTTCCTAATGTCCAATCTAAACCTCCCCTGCTGCACTTCAAGCCCATTACTCCTTGTCCTGTCCTCAGAAACCAAGAGGAACAAATTTTCTCCTTCCTCCTTGTGACACCCTTTTAGATATTTGAAAACCGCTATCATGTCCCCCCTTAATCTTCTTTTTTCCAAACTAAACAAGCCCAGTTCATGAAGCCTGGCTTCATAGGTCATGTTCTCTAGACCTTTAATCATTCTTGTCGCTCTTCTCTGTACCCTTTCCAGTTTCTCCACATCTTTCTTGAAATGTGGCGCCCAGAACTGGACACAGTACTCCAGCTGAGGCCTAACTAGTGCAAAGTAGAGCGGCAGAATGACTTCACGAGTTTTGCTTACAACACACCTGTTGATACAACCTAGAATCATATTTGCTTTTTTTGCAACAGCATCACACTGTTGACTCATATTCAACTTGTGGTCCACTATGACCCCTAGATCCCTTTCTGCCATGCTCCTTCCTAGATAGTCGCTTCCCATCTTGTATGTATGGAACTGATTGTTCCTTCCTAAGTGGAGCACTTTGCATTTCTCTTTATTAAACCTCATCCTGTTTACCTCTGACCATTTCTCTAACTTGCTAAGGTCATTTTGAATTATGTCCCTATCCTCCAAAGAAGTCGCAACCCCACCCAGTTTGGTATCATCTGCAAACTTAATAAGCGTACTCTCTATCCCAATATCTACATCATTGATGAAGATATTGAACAGTACGGGTCCCAAAACAGACCCTTGAGGAACTCCACTTGTTATCCCTTTCCAGCAGGATTTAGAACCGTTAACAACAACTCTCTGACTACGGTTATCCAGCCAATTATGCACCCACCTTATCGTGGCCCTATCTAAGTTGTATTTGCCTAGTTTATCAATAAGAATATCATGCGAGACCGTATCAAATGCCTTACTAAAGTCTAGGTAAATGACATCCACCGCTTCTCCCTTATCCACAAGGCTCGTTATCTTATCAAAGAAAACACACGACAGATAGAGGAGAGGAGACCGAAAAAAAAAGAAGCTCCTTCCACTTCCCATTCCCCCCGTCCCTGCCAGGGGAAGAATGTCCCAAGTGGCCTTCTGTCTGAGAAAAACAGAAATACCAATACCGCACTCCTGGCAACCCTCGCTCAAACTCACTTGATCTGTCACAGGTAAGGTTCAGATGAACCCTCTGGAAAGCCAACCTCACTGTGACCAATGCCCCTTGTCTTCAAAAAGCATGGGGTCAGACCCTAAAATATCTGTCGTGTGTTTTCCTTAATATGCCATCGTGGACATCAGACGAGAGAAAGTGATTAAAAAAAACCAAAACTCTTTTCAGCCCTGTTGCCCTTCATTTACGTGATCAGATGCTGACTATTTAGTACAGTAAATATTTCTAGCGGTAATTACCAATCATTCGAGTCTGATGTTAAGTCAAAGACGACCACAAAGTGCTCATTAACACTACAAACGTATTTGTATGCAGAATTATTTCGGCACATTTGTTTAAAAGGTCTTCATTGCACACAAAAAAAGGGTGTTGGAACCGTTATATAATGTGTGTGTTTGTAATCTGTCTGGTTTTGTGTATTGGATGTTTAGTATTTTTCTTTAGTATTTCTAACCAAGAATAAAACCAAGATGATAGCGCAGATTTTCATTTCCACTGAGGTGCACTGTGTCATGTACAGAGGCTCACTTTAAGTCTTCTTTATGTTGCCAGAAAGATGTAAAGCAGTGTTTCTCAACCAGTGGTATGAGTACCCTTAGAGATGCTAGAGAGAAATCTGGGGGAGGGGAGGTATGTCAACACAACTGAAATTTGGAGAAAACTGATTTTTTTTAAGTTTTACAGTGCTTTATTATTTTGTACTTTTTACGCCCAAAAATTTCATTGCCTGCTCAGCTAAAATTAAGTTATTTAAACAAATGTGTTGCGATGGTAGATGGTGATTTTCACGGCTCTGACAGTGCAGATATACATTGTACTTGCCTTGAGGTCTCTTTGCATTGCCAGAGGTGCAGAAAGTGACGTTCGTGGAAGTGAGGATCGGGCCCTTTGCATTGACCCTTGTGTAAAGTAGATGAAAATTGCTACGCCCTAAGTCAGGGGCGTTGTGGCCCGAAAGCAAGACTTGGTTACAAACGGCCAGGTTTTGATTTTTTTGGCTAAATTCTGCATTAGAAAGAAAATGTGACCTTGTGAATTTGCGTATGGGGTGATTAATTAACGAGAGAGTGTCATTAATGAGAGAGACTCATTTTTTGAGGAGTAACGTTAGTTCGAACCAAGGGGTTTGGTTCGAACTAACGCGGCCTAGCATGCATTTCCTGGTTCGAATCAGCTGTTGAGCGGAGTAACGCGCCAGCGAGATCATGCTAATGAAGCGCGGGATATTTAAATCCCCGCTTCATTAGCAATTTTGGTCGCCTACATTTGCATCCCTAGCTCGAACTAGGGAGCAAGTGTAGACGTACCCTAAGAGTTCTAGGTGACATCCCTGCTGTGTATCACAACCAGGCTAGAGGAAGTGTCAATCTCTGTCCTGCTGGAAGTTTTCCACTTTGGAGGGCAGAAAATTAAATATACCTTCAACCTGTGACACTCTTGGCCAGAGGATGTTACGATGGCCAAAATTATAACAGGCTTTGAGACAAAAGAGTCTAGATAAATTCACGGAGGATTGGCCCCTCAGTGTCTATTAGCCAGTAGGGTCAGGGATGGAACCCCATGGTCTGAGTGCCGGAAGCTGGTAATGGATGACAGAGGATGGATTACTTGGTGATTGGCCTGTTCCACTCATTGCCTTTGAGACACCTGGTATGAGTCACTGTTGGAAGATAGGACAATGCACCATTGGTCTGATCCAGTGCGCCCATTCTTATGTTCATAATGGGCCAGAGTGGGTGCCCCTGTCACTAGGCTATTGGCTATCAGAGGGAGAGAGATGGACATCTCGTATTTTCTCTGCTCACATTCAGAACTTCCATCCTGGTTTCCACAAATCAGCATTTCCTGATTTAAAAACAAACAAAACATTTTGTTGAAAAATGTCTGACCAGTTATATTTTACATCCACTTCACCGCAAAGTAAATGACTGTATGACAGTGTTTCTTAAACTTTTAAGACCGAGGAACACTGAACAATGATTTTGTTTTTATGAGGAACACCAAGGGATTTTTTTGTTAAGCAAAAAAAAAGGTCCGGGGAAAAAGCGTGGAGGGGGAAGTTATTGAGGGAAAAAAAGGGTTGGGGAGGGAAAGTTATTGAGGGGAAAAAAAAAAGGTTGCCTGCCCCTTTAAGGTGTCCATTTTGAATTCTGTTCTCCGCGGCACACCTCCAACTGCCTCACAGCACACTGGTGTGTCATGGAACACAGTTTAAGGAACACTGCTCTATGAGGTGTATGGCAACAGAGAATTGGACCCCATGTCTTTGCGGTATGTAATCTTCACATGGATTTGTGTGGGGCAGAGGATCTGACTAATGCATGTTCGATTATTTGTTCCTTACACATTGGTGTGGCCATTCGTATTCTTATTGGTGCTGTGTGAATTAGCCATTCGTATTTTGCAAATTTTATTGTTTTACGTGCTTGAACTTTGCATTTTTTTGGGGGGGGGAAAAGGATCAAGAGACCAGCTACACCATCATCAAATCGAAAGAGACGACCATCACGGCAGATGGCTTGAAACCAGCATCAGCATATATCTTCCAGATCCGAGCTCGCACAGCAGCAGGCTATGGTGGCTTCAGTCGAAGATTTGAGTTTGAAACCAGCCCAGTGTGTAAGTCATTTTAATTACTGTCAGCTCATGTTTCTGATGTGGTGCCCAGAAAAGAGTGAGCCGATCAATATCTTTGCAAGGGTTTCTGTCATCCTCTTTCTCTCTTTGACCTGATCCGTTTAGGGAAGAAGCATCAGTCATGGCATGATGTTGGGTTGGACAGGTTGGATTCCGTTTTCCTCATTCCATTTAGTCGAGAAGGCGATGAGAAATCAGGGTGTCTTTTAAAGTAGGAAGTTCATGAAACTGGTTGGATTGAGAATTTCTTTTGTTTCTGTCTCTGCCATTTACACAGTCCTGGGTGGCTGGCTTTTCACTGCAGTAGTCTTCTCATCATCACGAATTCCCCTTGGAAGCCTTGAACGTTTGTGCCAGGGATGAAGAGCGACTCTCATATATTTCACCAGGCTTTTGTACGGTTGTAAACCTCTTACTATGGCCTGTGGAGGATTCCGAGGCCTCTCTGATATATCTTTTGCGTGTGTTGCTGGAAAAAGGTTCTAATAGAAATACCTCCCAACATCACTTGTGCTGTATTGATCAGAGAAAGAGCTTTGACATCAAAGAGATTATTGGAATATTACAGTCTCCCTGCAGCAAGCCCTGTACTTAAGGTGGCAAATATAGTTTCCTTCCTTGTCCCAGTGCTCTTAATATTTCCAAGATGTCAACTTTTCATCTGAATTTTAGGGGGGAGGGTTATGAGAGGAGAAATATTTTAA